AAAGGGGGGAAGGAGAACACCCCTCAAAGATGGGGGTGCGAGGGTCACCACGAGAGGCTCCTACAGCGATTATGCTCTTCTCCGTTGCTAGGAGGGCCTTCTCTAAGAGGTCAACAGTGAGAGTGGTGGGACAGACTGAGAGGAAGTGGTCCCTGACTACACGAAGGGAGTCAGGGAGGCGGGTGACTATATAATAGAGAGTGATGTACATGGGGGGGGGGGGGATTCTTGGCGCAGAACTCAGCAGGAAGCGCAGCGCGGTAGCGAGTGTCACTAGTGCGGAGGTGCGTAATGAGGTCAGCGACTGTGGGAAAGGCAGCAAGGTCAGGAAAGAGGTACGGTAGCATGAGGCGGCTCAGTGCAGCAGTGGCAGGGGAAGAGTAGCGCGCAACTACAGCGTCGTACAAGGTCTGAGCACTCTTGTACTGACTAAAGTGCGCGCGCTCAGTGGTAGGCAGGTGGCGATGCACAGCAAGACGTGCAGCAGCATCGCGCGTGGCCCACTGGGAACGAACAGTGGGGTCAGCATCAGCAGCAGCGGCAGGAGAGGCGCCAGAGGTGAGGTCAAAGAGGGAGAGACCGTCTGCCCTATCGCACTGTAGGAAAAGCTGCAGGTCATCTACCCAAACCTCAAAGTCAATGGCTCGACCCTCAACGTCAAAAGCGAGAACACTGGGGGTAGCCATGACAGCAGTAGACTAGCAGTGCCAACTGTAGGACAGGGGCAGTGCAGTGACAGAAGCGCTGCTCTCACCGGACAGGGCGGGTCGGGCAGCTCAGCAGTACAGCAACACGGCAACACGGCTGCTCGGAAGGCTCAGCAGCAACTGCGGCTCCGTGGTGCCAGCGGCTCGGCTCCTCAGGCGGCTCGAGCTGCTCAAGCGGCTCGGACGGCTCGGGCGGCTCGGGCGGCTCGGGCAGGTCGGGCGGCTCGGGCGGCTCGGGAGAATCGGGCGGCTCGGGCGGCTCGGGCAGCTCGGGCAGGTTGGGCGGCTTGGGCGGCTCGGGCGGTTCGGGCGGCTCGGGCGGTGTAGGGCGGCAGGGCCGCTGGTGCGAGGGGCGGCGGGGCCGCTGAGAAGGGCGGCGGGGCCGCTGAGAAGGGCGGCGGGGCCGCTGCGGAAGGGCGGCGGGGCCGCTGAGTAGGGCGGCGGGGCCGCAGTAGAAGGGCGGCGGGGCCGCTGAGTAGGGCGGCGGGGCCGCTGAGTAGAGCGGCGGGGCCGCTGAGTAGAAGGGTGGCGGGGCCGCTGAGTAGGGCGGCGGGGCCGCAGCGAGGGAGGCAGCGGGGCCGCAGCGAAGGGCGGCGGGGCCGCTGAGATGGGTGGCGGGGCCGCAATGTGGGGCGACGGGGCCGCCGAGAATGGCGGGGCCGCAGCGACGGGCGGCAGGGCCGCGGAGACGGACGGCGGGGCCGCAATGCGGGGCGACGGGGCCGTTGAGAAGGGCGGGGCCGCAGCAACGGGCGGTGGGGCCGCTAAGTAGGGCGGGGCCCGCTGAGAAGGGCGGCGGGGCCGCACTAAAGGGCGGCGGGGCCGAATCGACGGGCGGCGGGGCCGCTAGGGGAAGGGGCCGCTAGGGCGATAGGGCTGCTAGGGCGTAGGGGCCGCTAGGGCGGCTCGGCGAGGTAAGAGCCCGGAGCGCGACTCGGGCGGAGCGCGCTTCGGGCAGGAGAAAAAAAAATGAAACTCGATGTGGTGGGCCCTAGACACAGTTCCCAAGGGGGAACCTGCTCGATACCATGAGGAAAGTAGAACGAGAATGATGTTGACTATGGAATGATGTGATACAAATATGCAACCCTAGAAATGTGTACCCCATATAGACTACCCCACTATAGCCTACACAATATTATAATTCGACACAACCAAGCAACCTCTGATTCTCTGCAGCCGAGCCAGCTTTATTTGTCTTGTCCATTTCCGGGTCTTCCACCACATTGAAGTCCCCCATCACCAATACGTTTTGCGAGTTGGGTAGTGAGCTTATAAAAGGCTCCAAACAGTCTCTGTAAAAAGGGCCTCTACTGCATGGCTGCGCTTGGAGGTACATCGCCACCATGAGCAGCTCCACATCACCCCGCTTCACCATGACACCAATTAGCCTCCCAGACGGGTGCACGTAAGTTTCGTTGAAATCCATCCCAGGCATAAAACTCAGGACCGCGACACCCCCGGTTGTTTTCGCCGGTCCGACTGCTATTTTCGCCGATGGCTTAAGTTGACTCTAGAAATTATGATCTGCATCAATCTTCGTGCCTGTGACTATTGCAATGTCAGTTTTGTTCCACAACAAGTCTCTGCATTTAATTCTCTTCCCCTCACTGCCAAGTCCATTGATGTTGAACCCGCAGAATGTAATGGAGTGCTTCTTATTCATTGATCAACTACGAGGAAGCCCCTTCGCATCCACGTGAGAAAACATGTTACATCGGAAACACCGCAAAGAGATACAACTGCTAAACTCCTGCTGCAACCAGTACCGCTGCTGACATCACCACTCCCTTGCTGGTCCGCCTCTTCGGACAGCACCTTATTCACCCCCAGCTTCCTTACTCCCCAATGTGCTCTTGGAGAACTCCTTGCGGAAAGCAGGCACGTTGATCGCACCCTTGCTGGCACGCGTGGCCGCACCCGGCTTGGTCAGGTTGGTCTTGTGGCGAAGGGATGCGACGTGAGCCGATGCTTGCTCGAAACTGGAACCCTGCGCTTTCTCGCAGGCCGCGACAACGCAGACCCAGTCTTCCCTCGACCCCCCTGTGGAGGTGAGTACAATAGCAGGGTCTTTGAGAATCTCTCGTAGCATAGCATCTTGTGACACCCATGGGTCAGTAATTGTGTGCCTCCATGGGTCTGTGTCACCCGCGTGCGGGACCACCAAGCCCTTTACTTTGTCAGTATCCATGCATGTGACCGTATCCTGAACTCTGTGGAAACCAAAACATTTGTTAAAAGCACTCTTCCCCTTCTTTAACAGAAGAATTTCAACAAGCATCTTGCGGATTAAGTCAGGCGAAACACTAGCCGGAACCATCTTCAGCACCACTTCAACTGCTTCTGGGTGCAGATGACGTTCACGCTTATAGGCTGCATTTTCCAGGTGCTGCCAGTCCAAGGTGCGTATCTTGCCTTTTCCCAAATTGTGCTCGATCGACTGCATCCAGATTAACTCTGCATCTCGAGCATGCTTGAAAGTGACTTGCAGCCGACCATATTTCTTCTTGGACAGCCATGTCGCCGACAAGACCTGATACTGCGTTGTCTTAAGTATGTCGGCAGATAAAGAGGTCTTCTAGAAATCGAGGTGAGCAATGACAGTTGCCTTGGTCTTGGGAACTTCACAAATAAAATCAACAGGGATTAGCAGCGTGATCGGGAAACTGATCTCGGCAGAAAGCAGGCTGACTGCAACCGGGTCAAACTCGTCGTCGGGGTTACTGTCCCACCACCCATCATCCGTTTCCTGGCAAATATCCTTCCCCTTGTTCGCCACAGGAGCCGCTGGCGAAGTTGGGTCACGGGCATTGGAGGTCGCCGGAGCTGGGTGCGGAAAAGGCGGGGGAGGGTCACTTTTACTTCCTTCTGTCGTGTTGTCCTTCAGCCCATTCTCCTTAAGTGTAGAGAGGCACTCAGACAATCTTTTATGAGGATGAGCTTCCTAGGCAGCCAAAATTAATCCGTTGTCAGGCCCTTGATGTTAGAACCGAGGTACCCTGGAACCAGATAAGAGGTACCGTAATACCCCGGATATAAGCGCCACCCTCGGATAAGCGCCTGGTGCTTTTAATTGGCAAGTGGCGCTTATATCCGCTGCTCGATTAGAAGCGCACCCCCTGAAAAAACTTGTTTTATTATAAGCACACGTTAACTTTAAAATTTGAAATGTGTTCAGAACGCTGTAACGATTTTTACTTTAGTAGGCGGATGTGTTGCAGATTCGGGTCCCTTCACATTCAGACCCTTCAGATTCGGTTCCCTTCACATTCAGACCCTGCGGGTCCAGTCAGCAGGAGCTGTCAGAAGCTGGATGTGAGTCAGATTGAGTGTATCTCCCAGCGCGCGCGAGAAGTTCACACGACCCCATATAACTGTCAAACTCTTATGCTATAGTCTATGTAGGCTGTAGTGGGGTAGACAATATGGGGTACAACATTTCTAGGTTTTCCTACTTGTACCCACCTCTTTCCTAGTTCATTCATTCCTCATTTCTTCACATGGTATAGAGCAGGTTCCCTAGTGGGAACTTCCTAGGGCCCACCACTGAAAGTTGTTTTTTTTCCTGCCATGAGATCGAGTCGCCCCTGACCGAGGCGCGCCCTGTGTGCTGCCCTCCCCTTAGCGACCCGCCGCGCCGCCCTTGGCGGCCCACCCTCTCTCACGGCCCCTCGCGACCCCGTCGCCGCCCCCTAGCGGCCCGTCGCGCCGCCCTGAACGGCCTGTCGCGCCGCCCTCAGCGGCCCCTTGCGGCCCTGCCCTCTCGCGGCCCCGTCGCCTCCCTCTCGCGGCCCCGTCGCCGCCGTTCGCGGCCCCGTCGCCGCCCGTCGCGGCCCTGCAGCCGCTCCTCGCGGCCTTGTCGCCGCCCTCTCGCAGCCGCGTAGCCGCCCTCTAGCGGCCCCAGTGCCGCCCTCTTGCGGCCTCGTCGCCGCCCACTCGCGGCCTCGTCGCCGCCCTCTTGCGGCCGCGTCGCCGCCCTCTCGTGCGGCCCAGTCGCCGCCCTCTTGCGGCCCCGTCGCCATCCCGGCCCCTTCACCGCCGAGCCGCCGAGCAGCCGAGCCGCCGAGGCCGTCGTCGAGCCGACACTACCTCTATCGAGCCGCTACCACCGCTGTTTCAGCCATGTTTCTACCGGCGCGCCCGGGCCCTACCCACCCGGACTAGTGAGAGCACTCCCTGCTAGACCACTGCTGACGTGGCTACCCCCAGCGTCCTTACCTTTGATGCTGAGGGTCGTGCTGTTGACTTCGAGGTCTGGGTCGATGACCTGCAACTTTTCCTACAGTGCGATAGGGCAGACGGACTCTCCCTGTTCGATCTCACCTCTGGTGCCTCTCCTGCCCCGCCTGCTGGTGCTGACAGCACTGTTCGCTCACAGTGGGCCACACGCGACGCTGCTGCCCGTCTTGCTGTGCGTCGCCACTTACCGACCGCTGAGCGTGCGCACTTTAGTCAGTACAAGAGTGCTAAGACCTTGTACGACGCTGTAGTTGCATGCTACTCTTCCCCTGCCACTGCTGCTCTTAGCCGCCTCATACTGCCGTACCTGTTCCCTGACCTTGCAGCCTTTCGCACATTCGCTGACCTCATTACGCACCTTCGCACTAGTGACACTCGCTACCGCGCTGCGCTTCCTGCTGAGTTCTGCGCCAAGAACCCTCCCCCCATGTACATCACCCTCTACTACATAGTCACCCGGCTCCCTAACTCCCTTCGCTTAGTCAGGGACCACTTCCTCTCAGTTTGCCCCACCACACTCACCGTTGACCTCCTCGAGGAGCGCCTCCTGGCAGCAGAGAAGAGTATAGTCGCTGTAGGAGCCTCTAGAGGTGACCCGCGTGCCCCTGTCTTTGAGGGGTGCTCCCCCTCCCCCCTTTTGCCCTCTGTTGCCTCTGCTGCTGCCGTCGACTTCGTTGGCACCGAGTCGGTCGGCGCTGCGTCTGCCCCTAGCGGGCGACGCCGCACCGGCAAGGGCAAGCGGGGCAAGGGCGCTGGAGGGGCTGGCGGGGGCGGTGGAGGTGGAGGTGGAGGAGGCGGAGGGAGTGGGGGTGGTGGTGGGAGTGGTGGCGGGGGTGGGGGCTTCGGTGGCGGCAGTGGCGGCGGAGGCGGCGACGGCGGTGGCGGTGGGAGCGGAGGAGGAGGCAGTGGCGGCGGTGGCGGCGGTGGCGGCGGAGGAGGTGGAGCTAGTCGAGGTGGCTCTGCGCAGCGGAGCGGCTCAGGTGGTGGTCACGCGAGCAACAGCAGCGCACTCGTGAGACCCCGTCCCCCCAGCAGCTTCGTGAGTGGTACACTGCGCGTCAGCGAGGTGGGGGTGCTGGTCCTTGTACCTACGTCCTCCGTACCGGCGACCGAGCTGGTGAGCAGTGCGGGGGCTTGCACTCCACCCAGCGCTGCTTCGGCCGCCTGACGAACGCTTGGCGTCACCAGTTCCCTGACGCCACTGAGATCCCTCGCTGGGGAGAGCTGTCTAGGGCGGGGGTTGCTATCTTTGATCTTGACTATGATGCTATTCTTGCTGCCATGTATGCTCTGTCTACTAGTGATGAGGGTGACTGTTACCTGTGTCTTCCGCCTGACCCGGGCATTGAGGCTGCTGCTCTAGGTGCTGGTGAGGCTGCTGCTCTAGGTGCTAGTGCGTCTGCTGCCCCAGGTGCTGGTGAGTCTGCTCTCTCAAGTACCACGTCGGCTTCGGCCTTACACACCTTCACCCTTGACTCGGGTGCTTCCCGCTCCTTCTTTCGAGACCGCACCACGCTTACGCCGCTTAGTCGGCCGGTTGCGGTCTCCCTTGCGGACCCCTCTGGGGGTCCTGTCCTTGCTAGCTTCTCCACTGTCTTACCGTGCCCGGCAGCCCCCTCTGGCACCCTGTCAGGTCTCTACCTCCCCTCGTTCTCTACGAACTTGGTGAGTGGTGCTGATCTACAGGATCGGGGGATGGACCAGTTCACTCCTGCGAGTCAGCGAGTGACCCACTACACGTGTGCTCGGACGGGCCGACATTTGGCCACGTTTACCCGTCGGCCGGGGTCGAGCCTATACACACTAACTGCTGAGTCTCCTCCGGTTGCTGAGTCTGGTCAGGTAGCTGCGTCGAGTAAGGTTTTTGCTGCAGTGTCCCGGTCTGGTCCTGAGTCTGCTCCCTGCTCGTGTCATCTCCTGTCCCACCAGACTCTCCTTTGGCACCACCGCCTTGGTCACCCCTCCCTGCCTCGTCTCCGAGGCATGGCCTCCCGTATCCTTGTCTCTGGTCTCCCCCGGTCCCTCCCTCCCCTCCCTCCAGGGCCTGCCCCTACCTGCGTTCCCTGCGTCGAGGGGCGTTAGCGCGCCACCCCTCACTCCTCTGCCCGTCTGGGAGCCTTCTGTCGTACACAGGGCATCCGCCAGACCTTCACGCTTCCGGCCTCTCCACAGAAAATTGGGATTGCTGAGCGCCGCATTGGCATGGTCATGGACGTCGCTCGTACGTCCATGATCCATGCAGCTGCTCCCCATTTTCTGTTGCCGTTTGCGGTTCAGTACGCAGCGCATCAGCTCAACATTCAGCCCCGGGTTTCCTTGCCAGAGACCTCCCCCACCTTGCGGTGGACGGGGAAGGTTGGCGATGCGTCTGCGTTTCGGGTCTGGGGATCTCGGGCGTTTGTCCGCGACTTGTCTACGGACAAGCTGTCTCCCCGTGCTATTCCCTGCGTCTTCCTTGGCTTCCCCCCTGACGCGCCTGGTTGGCAGTTTTACCACCCCACCTCGCGCCGTGTTCTGTCCTCCCAGGAGGTCACCTTTGACGAGTCGGTGCCTTACAACCGTCTCTTCCCCTACCGCACTGCGCCCCTCCCCCCCCCGCCGCTCTTCCTTGCGCCAGGTCCTCCCCCGGTAGACCCTCTCCCCCCTCAGGGTCCTGCCCCGTCAGGTGTGTCCCAGGTAGACGCAGTCAAGCCTTCCGAGGTAGCTGTTGACTCTGGTGCTGAGTCTGGGGGTGCTCAGTCTGGGGGTGCCTGGGGGTGCTGAGTCTGGGGGTGCTGAGCCTGGGGGTGCGGTGTTGAAATGAACGAACAGGAATGATTGAACTAATAGTGAAATCAGTACAAGTACCTAACCCTAGAATTGTGTACCCCCTATAGGCTAACCCACTGTAGCCTAAACAAGCACAACATATATAATGTTTGACACACCCCCATAGGCGAAGTGGGGGAGAACTAGGGGTCACAAGACCAGTCAAGTAAAGCAAAGCAAAGCAAGCTCATGGTGGATCACAAAGTCACCACACATTCCGAGCACAAGTTCAGGGCCACAAGGCCAGTTCACATGCAGGAGTACATATATATATAGGGCTAGACAAGCAAGAGCAAGTATATATATATGTAACAGTACAAGCAAGGTCAAGAGGTGAGCAAGTAAGGCAAGACAAGTACAAGACCCAGCTGGGTGCTGAAGCGCTGATGATCACAAGGCGCAAGTGCCTTGGTGAAGACATCAGCAGTGTTGGCCTCAGAGGCCACGTACGCAAGCCGCAACTGACCACGCTGCTGTAGCTCACAAGCAAGGAAGTAGCGGAGAGCAATGTGCTTTGTTCTGTGCTCCAGTCTCTGCTCTCAACACAAGGCCAGCATGGCCTTGTTGTCTACGTACAGGACTGGAGGAGAACGAGGCGGCTCTCCAAGGTCGGTCAGCAGGTAGGTGAGCCAGCGAAGCTCCTGAGCAGCCATGGCCCCTGCGTAGATCTCAGCCTCACAACTGGAGCCGAGAACAGAAGACGAGCGAGTAGCCCGCCACGAAACAGAGCCGGAACCAAGGCTGAAGGTGTAACCCTGTGACGACCGCTGCGTAGCCTGGTCGTCAGCCCAAGAAGCGTCTGCGTGACCAGTTAGAACCACTGGACTCCGCCCTCCAAGCACTAGCCCCATGCCCGACGTACTGCACAAGTAGCGCAACACCCTCTTCGCTGCAGCCATGTGCTCTGGTCGGTGTCTCTCAGGAGCAACATAGCGTGCAAGAATGCTAAGAGGGTATGCAAGGTCAGGTCGTGTGCAGGTCATCAGGTACATGAGGCAGCCAACAAGCTCTGGATACGGGCCACTCGACTCTACGGACTCATCCGAAGGCAGAGCTGAGAGCGAGTGGCGAGTAGGCAGAGGAGTGGCCTGAGGCGAGGTTTACGTGAAGCCGAAGCGCTGAAGGACCTGCTGCACCATGTGTGACTGAGTCAGGGTGATGGTGCGGCGTGCTCTGTCCGGGGTGATCTGCAAGCCAAGGTAGCTGCGCAGTTCACCCAGGTCTGTGCACGTGTGTCTCTTCTGCAGCTCGGACTTCACGTAGGCGAGTCCAGCAGTGTCAGCTGTGGCAAAGACCAAGTCGTCGACGTACACGAGGATGTAGAACGGCGGCAGAGAAGTGTCGGTGCGTAGAAACAGCGACGGGTCGGCAGTAGAGGGAGCAAACCCAATAGCCGCAAGCGTAGTCCTCAGTGTGCCGTGCCACTCGCGCGGTGCTTGGCGGGGACCGTAGACTGGCCGTCGGAGGCTCCACTGGGTGCCAGGAGGGAAAGTCCCAGTGAAGCCAAGTGGGCGGCGCAGCCAGATCTCCTCGTGCAGGCTGCCCCGCAGGAAGGCAGTGCTGAATTCAAGAGAGTCTAGCTCGTATTCACGTTGAGCAGCTACGTGCAGTAGTACCCGAAGAGTGGTCATCTTCGGGGTGGGAGAGAAGGTCTGAAAGTAGTCAACTCCCTGCCGCTGACTGAAGCCACGAGCCACGTAACTCTCCTTGAAGACAGGCGGAGAACCCGGCGGCCGCTTCACCCTGAAAATCCACATGCCACTGACGATGTTCGCCCGAGGAGGGGGGACAGCGTCAACGTAGGTGCCTGTGGACTTCGAGGAAGCCATCTGTGCATCCATAGCTGCCTGCCACTGAGAAGAGTAGGGACCCTCTATCGCCTCCGCGTAAGAGCGCGGAGTCGGGATGTCAAGTGCATCCGGGTCTCCCTCAGGGGTAAGCAGTACGGACACGAGATGAGGTGAAGCAGCGGCCAAGCACTGGAACTCCTCCTGCCTGTCCTCAAGGACGTCCGTGCCAAGGGCACACGCACCCCCGACGGACGGAGGACAGACAGACTCAGACTCGGCGACAAGACTAGCAGCGTAGTCTAGACAACAGCGAGCAGCAAAGTCGACGAGCTCAGCAACAAGGGCAGACGCAGCAGTGGACTCAAAAGAAGGGTCAGTGACGACAGTAGCAAGGAGACGCGTGACAGTAGGACTGGCAGCACGAAGAGAGTCCGACTCCGGGTCGGGAAGAGCAGGAAGAGAGGACTCAGGAGGAGAAGGCAAGGGGGCACGCAGAGGAGCAGTGGACGGACGCAGAGATATCCGGTGCGTGCCAGGGACAAGAGGAGGACGCTGACGCGAAGCGCAACCACTAGTGCGAGCAGTACGGACAGGCGACGCAGGGCGAGACGCAGGCTCACGACGCTCAGCAAGACCTCCAGTAGGACCAGTGTAGGGAGAAGGAGCAGGCAGTGGGGAGGCGGGCTGTAATTGTAACCGTGACTGGACAGGCTATGGACACTCTTAGGAAGGAGGAGGACCGAGAGAAGGCGGGAGACCAAGAACCTGCTGAAGGAGCGGAACAAAGTACGGCCGCTGCCGTGCAGCGACTCCAGAACCAGCAGAGACACCAGCGTCAGGGTCCTTCGCACCAGCAGCAGCTCCAACGCCCGACTCCACAGCACCAGCAGCAGCACCAGCTCCAGGGTCCTCAGCACCAGCAGCAGCTCCAACGCCCGGGTCCTCAGTACCAGCAGCAGCTCCAACGCCCGGGTCCTCAGCACCAGCAGCAGCTCCAACGCTCGGGTCCTCAGTACCAGCAGCAGCTCCAACGCCCGGGTCCTTAGCACCAGCAGCAGCACCAGCGCCCGGGTCCGCAGCACCAGCCGTAGCTCCAACGCCCGGAACCGCAGAACCAGAAACAGCTCCAACCTCTAGGGCCGTAGCACCAGCAGAACCAGTAGAGTCTCCAGCACCAGTAGCACCACCAGCAGCAGCGGGGTCCGCGACACCAGGCGCGCCACTCCGAAGAGTGCAGCGCCGCTCGTACCACTCACGGATCCGCTCACGGGAGGGGAGCTCCCGGCTAGGAGGAGAAGCACTAGCACCAGTCCCAGTAGTACGCCTGGCTCCAGAGGTACCTCTCCTGAGGCTGCAGTACTGGAAGTACCACTCACGCAGCTGCTCCGAGGAGAGGGCTCCGCTTGGTGTAGGACCCTCAGGCTCAGGACCTCCAGACTCAGAACCCCCAGATTCCGGACTCTGCGGCTCAGCACCCCCAGGCTCCGCACCCCCAGGGTCCGCACCCCCAGGCTCCGCACCCCAAGGCTCAGCACCCCCAGGCTCCGCACCCCCAGGCTCCGCACCCCCAGGCTCCGCACCCCCAGGCTCCGCACCCCCCGGCTCAGCACCCCCAGGCTCCGCACCCCCAGGCTCAGCACCCCCAGGCTCCGCACCCACAGCAGGACGAGAGTCGACAGCTACCTCAACAGGCTCAACCGGGTCTACCTGAGACACACCTGAGGGAGCGGCACCCTGAGGGGGGAGGGGGTCTACGACAGCAGCACCTGGCGCGAGGAAGAGAGGCGGGGGGGGGAGCGGGGCAGTGCGGTAGGGGAAGAGGCGGTAGTAGGGGACGGACTCGTCAAAAGTGACGTCCTGAGAGGGCAAGACTCGGCGCGAGGTGGCGTGGTAAAACTCCCAACCAGGCGCATCCGGGACAAAGCCGAGGAAGACGCAGGGAACAGCACGGGAGGAGAGCTTGTCCGCAGATGTATCGCGGACAAAAGCTCGAGATCCCCAGACCCGGAAACGCGACGCATCGCCAACCTCCCCCGTCCACAGCAGTGTGGGCGAGGTCTCCGGCAAGGAGACACGGGGCCAGAGGTTGAGCTGATGCGCAGCGTACCGGACCGCAAACGGCCACAAAAAGTGGGGGGCAGCCGCATGGATCAAGGAGGTACGGGCGACCTCCATGACCAGGCCAATGCGGCGCTCTGCAATCCCATTCTGCTGTGGAGAGGCCGGAAGCGTGAACGACTGCTCAATGCCGTGCTCAGCACAGTAGGCTGCCAAGAGGTCGGAGGAGAACTCACCACCTCTGTCAGAGTGCAAGCGCAGGACAGGAAAGTCCGAGTGGAAACGCTCGCTGAGCTGGAGACGGGCTCTGCGGATCCAAGGGATCAAGACATCAGGGACCTCACCCTTGGTGCGCAAGGGGAAGACCGTGGTGTAGCGCGAGTAGTCGTCAACAACTATCAGGAAGTACCTCTCCTGACCCTGACC